AAATTGAACAAATAATTAAATGACTTCAAAAAGGTGTTTTATCGGGATAAATAAGTGTTATGCGTTGCAGGAGTAGATATATCACTTTTTGATTTTCTAAGATATGCATACGATAACTATCAATCTTCCACGAAGTTATGCTGCTTATCGAAATCACCGTAATGTTGCTGATGTTGCTGTTTTGCCTTTTTTTGTTGTCGTCGTTGTTCAAAGAACAAGCAAAACAAAAACAAAAACAAAAAAGGTTGAAGAGAACGAGAGACGAAATGTTAGAAGGTGAAGAGGGGTAGAACAAGCATAATTTATTAAGTCTCACCTTATTTCACTATTTTTCCCTGCTATTTTTCAAATGGTTATAATTGTTGCAGGAAACTGACCATGACACCTGTGCGTTGTTACTGTTGTTGCCTATTGCTGTTCATTTGTATTTTATCGGTAAGGTGTCAGGATGGTGGTGTTAGCCAGAAATGCCGGGACTTGTTTACATGTATGATTGAGAAAGACTGCGTTCAGGTTTGCCGCTTTCTTTGTCTCTCTTCGTTTAATACTTATTTTGGTTTGCACAGCTACTGTCTTTTTTTCGCTATTGAAATGGAAACAAAAAAAACAGCAAGATGAACAACAAAGGGAGAAAGTCTGAAGTAAAAAAGAAAAAGTAAAGTGAAAAAATCAATATTAGAAAAAAGAATAAAAAAAAATCATGCAGTAATCGTTTTTACAAAAGGCAAAAAATTAACCTAGCTTTTTGCGCGGTACATACACCTGATGGTTTTTAAAGATCTTAATTTGAAATCTTTTTTTTTTTAACTTGGACTAACGAACAAAAATTAAAAAACCTTTAGCACCGATGTAATTATGCTGTTTTACATTGCTGTTATTTTGTTGTTGTCGTTATTGCTGCTTGTTGATTCTGATTTAGAAAGAAGCAAAAACTTTTTTCTTTTATAGATTTCCTTCAGAAATATCTTTTTGACTGTAAATTTACACATTTTGTACATCCAAAAAGGAAGTAATCTTTTTGCACAAAAATAATTTTTGAGCTCTTAAAATTTTACTTTTTTCTCTTTGAACTGTTATGTGCAGCACAAAAACGTTATTTGGGTAGATTTTTTTACCGCAAGGCAACTTCGTCACTGAAAACGTCAGAATTCCACAATTAAAATACTAAACCAGTGATGATTTTTCTGCACACATATACACTATGTACAGAAAGTTTGAACAAAAACAAATAAATAATTAAAGGACTTGAAAAGATGTATTTGGGATCGTTGTTCTACAAATGAAAATTAAAACATGGAAAGAAAATATAAACTGCTCTTGAAAAAATATATATATATTTTTGCTCCACTTCCTGTAATTTTAAGCAATAACTCAGGAAGTATCAAATTCCTAAATTCATCCACATTTGTTTCTCTGTCTGACAAATTGCAGTAGTCAGTTGAATAATAAAATATTTAAGGTGTTCACAAATAATAACATCATCATCGGCACCTCAGGTGATAATACTGATATCTTACTAACAGTGAGGTATTTAGATGAAATTTATCAACGAAAAATTCCGCGGAGCGGAAATTAACGCCGAAATGTATAACAACCTGGACAAAGGTATTGATTACGGATGTATCTTCACTTCCGGATGTTTGGAGGAATGTAACCGGTGTCCGTTGTGCTTGTCAAGCAAGGAACAGCTTGTCGACGTTCTTGCCGGTAACAAACGTAGTGAAACAGGTTTTAAGCTTCTTCTTCAACTGATTACCTGATTTTTTTTTGATCTAGTGCTCTGAGCAGCAGCATTGTAAAGCTTTATTGTGTATGCCAAAAAAAAGCAAACAAGAACAGCCAAAATCAGGTCATCAACTTCCGAACATTTCTAAATTTACGAAGTTTTTCCAGATCAAAAGTAGCTTTTTTGCCAAGCACTACTTTTTTTTTTCAACCAGTAACCTGAATATCAGCATACGCTTCACAGTGAATCTTTCTTGATAGTCTGAAAATAGTTTGATATTCGAGAACACTTTGTTTTCAAAAAATCTATAACATTATAAACTGGTTTCCGCAGTGAAAAAATTGAAAGAGGAAAGACTGTAGGAAGACAAAAAGATGAGGGGTGAACAGGGGACGGTAGAAGGAGTAGGAAAGTGCGGGGGAAATGTAATAAAAGAACTTAATATTGGAAATATCACTATGTTACAAGTGAAAAGTATACGCATCTTCTTACTCTGTAATGAAATTTACAACTTCTACTGTTTGACCTTTTAAGTACAACAGATTTAATAAAAATCCTTTGGTCCCCATTGTCCTTAACTATCATTGCAAAAATTAAGCATTTAATTAAGGCAATTAAAAAGGTTTCCTAATACTAGCCTAAGCACACGGTGTTTTTCAAATGAAAGTTGAGAAATCAAACAAATAATAGTTCTTACAAACCATCAGACAGTCTTAAAATGGAGCCGTTTTTATTGCAAGCATTTTTGCCTTTCTAAACTCAGAATAAATTGTTGTTTACAAAAAAATACTTTGATTAAGTAAGACCAATTATTAATTAAAGAAATGAGCTACCTCCTGCTGCTGTTGTTATCGCTGCAACGTTATCTTACCAACGGAATTCAAAAAAATTTTTCTTGTTTATTGACTGCGGCTTTATTCCAGGTGAATGTGCAACGCTAGTGAATTGTGCGACAGACTGTGTACAACGTTCAAATTCTAATTTACCACAAATAAACCACTGTTTAAGGCATATATGTGCTTACAGCTGTTTCGATGGCAGTTGTTACAAGTGTTCAGGATTTATAACACGACTATTCAACCAAATTTGTGCTAGCGGTAACCTTAAAAGCACTGTCAGCAATTTTCAGGTTACAATTTTGCTTTTTTTTTTTCAAATTTTGATTTTTTTAAAATCTCTTCTACACTTAATGTCACGGGTACCGCCTAATAAGACGAACAAGAAATGTCAAATTTTGGATTAAACAGCTAACATGAAACACAACCCCCGCCTCTATTAATTACTTTAACCTCACTAACAAAAGAAACCTTATAGTTTTCAGTCTTTTCAGAAAATTACTCGAATCTCATAGGGCTTGTGGCAAAGTCCAAATAACTGATCTCTGTTGAATTTTTGATACATATTTTCCAAATGAATAGTGCCAACATTTTAAACGATAGATACTGTCAACTTTAGCCACCTCTCCAACTACATAAACCACAAAGTCTCTTAATTTCCATATGTTCGAAACAATAAATTTTTGAGGCACTGATTAAACTAACCAGTCCCTGTTCAAAAATTAGAAAAATAAAGCTGCACTAATGAAGTTCTAAAAGGTTTAAACTTATATTTTACACTAAAAATTTTTGGCAAACCAAGCAGCTTTTAAAGTCAGTGAAAGGAAGTCTGTTAGGTCATAATTTTTCACTTATTTTCACCTTTCACTTTGTCTGCAAAAAGTTACTAACTTAGACAAGCTCTACTACTCTTTGTTGAACATAGGGTCACACAACCGTTTCGTATAAAAGCCCAATAATGGTCTCCAAAAAACAAAAGTCATAAAACAGCGCAAAACCACCTTTCTCTCAGCACTTCGCGTTAGACGGTTAGAATAAAAAATTAAATGTTGTCTCATTAAACCATGAGTTTTTCATTAAAGACTATAATCTTAGACCAGAGTGCAGACAGAATCCCAGTTCCTTTGTGAAAAATTCTTTTTACCTGCGTAAAACATCCTTCGTTTTTCGTTCGCATCCCTTTAGTTTTTTTGTCTTGAAATAAACTTCAAACAGGAATAATAGGGTGAAAGAACCCAAAACTTTATTTTTGTTTTGACAATCCAATACTGGTTGAACTTTTCCCCTCCAAATGTTTAGTGTTCATCATTCGGCGCACATTTTCGGCTATTTATGCAAAGTTCATGATATTCAATAGAAAGTTCAAAAACATCCGGAAAATAGTCGGAATTTTGACAAAGCCGTACTGTTTACTGACCAAGAACTTGCGCTGCATTCAATACAACTTCATCAAGCACTAATAACTTCTGTTTCTAGGGCCACTGTTACGAACTGTTTAAAGAGATCGTGTACGCCAAGTTCCAGAGCGAATTTGATAAAAATAAAAAAAAACCAGCTATCGGATTACGGCCGCACTAAAACTGAAAAATCTAGTCATCTAAATGATCTTCTCAAGGACCTTTTAAATTTGTGCGTTGTATGCAAATACAAACAAAAGCACATAAATCTATAAACAAGCAATTTTGATCAAAGTTTTCAGTAAAATAATTTAAAACATTCATAACGTGATAAATGACTTTAACTCGTAACAGAGTTTATCTGTCCGTTTTATTGACAACAGCTGAAGTTGCAACGGTTCGTAGCTAAAGAAAGTAAACAATGAAAGAAAAATTTTACTGAGACATTCAATACTAAATGATTTTTACTCGGTCAAATCTATGCAAATACACACAATTACCTTGAAAAGGCAGAAACTGAAAAATAGAGACACTACTTTGCAGGCAAAAAATATTCCCATAACCTACATCAGTGCGGATAAATATGAAAGAAATTTTGCTCAAAGAGAATCAACATTGACTTGGTTCACACGTATGTTCTAAGAACCAAGAAAACTTTAACAAAAGGAAATAAGTACAAGAAATGTCAAAAGAAATTTTAGTAAATAAAATTTTTTTCTTTATCAGCGTCACGCTAAAGTAGCTGAGATTGTAAAAGAAAAACCCATACTCTCTTTCACCTTCTACTGAAAGCTACTTCTGATAAGGTTCCCTTATTTAGGAAAGTCCCGTGTGAGATAAATCTGATTTGGAAAAAAAGAGGAGAGCCCGAGAATGCAAGATGAAAGAAAAAATGCTTTTCTTAACGGAGAAAATGTATGGCACAGGAACTTCTCCGCTGATTAACATTGATTACGGTGCACTACCATATGATACACCAATGACTTATCAGTTACCTTCAGCATCCCCATCACATGCCTTCAATTTACAGAAAGATGGAAAAAAAACGAACAACAAACTAAAAAACACTTGATGCTAATAATAACAGATCTCATGGCATCTTCAAACAGGTAGGTTGAGGCAAACCCCTGAAATTTAACTAGTCGACCATGCAGACAAAATTAACTAAGAAGTTTTTTGCTGCGGTTACCATTAAAGCTTTCGAACATTTTCAAAATTACCCTAAAAAAGCAACAAATCAGTAAACAAAAAAATTCAGCATCCCTATAAGAAGTCCTTCAGATACAACCATTTTTGAGAGAACAATTATCTGTTCACCAAATATTAACAATTCTCATTTAGCAGCAGCAGTTTATAGACAACAGCGAATGATTAGTAGCAAACACTTCCAACGTTTCCGATCAGCAAGAACATGTAATAAGCCATTCCGAAGCATATCTGAAGAGACGATACTAATAAATGAGAAATTTACAGCCGTTGAGTTACAATAAGTATTCTGAGAAAGTAGTGTGTTTTCCATATTTGAACTGTCTGCCGTATTAGTACACCTTTTGATTTCAGCAGCACTGCACAGCCTCTAACAATGACTGTCATTAAGTTGCAATTAACTTACAGAGATCTGTGAAATTAAACTTTTTAGATTTAACAAGCCATTTATTTACTTCGTACAAAGCCTAATAAACTGAATTTTCTATCTCGCCTTCTTTCTTCCACTATGTAAGCCAAAAAATCAATGCCGTCCGTTACACAAAGGCAACTAAAAATCTTAAATACAAAAAGCACCCATTATTTCTGTATAAAGGACAAAGAATGGCAAGGCATTGAGAGGGGCAGTACCTAAAATGTTAATGCCACTCAAAAAAAAAAAGAACCATTAGTTAACATATTGGCTTCTAAAGCAGCAATGCTGACGCCAAAAATTCCACCAAAAACTTGGTTTTGTGCAATATTCGACGTTCACGACTTACAGTAAAAATCAAATTTTTCTCTCAACGAACCATTAATCTCTTAATAGAAATTTAATTTTAAACTCCTGGAAACATAATGCCTCTTGAAACACACCCTTCATCAGTAAAAATCAACCTAGAAATAAACCGCTTTACTTTCCAAAATAAAATTTTTTGACACCGCCATGTTCCAGTGCTTAGCACATAGTATTTATACACTAAGAGTTTTTCCGTAAGTTCAGCAACTAGAAGGAACCTTTGTGTTCAAAAAGCGAAATTAAACGACACGATTCTTCAAATACCTACCTCTGTTTGCTGTTACCAGGCAAAGGTGCTGCGAAAACAATGTACACAATTTTTACAATAACGGTCATTTATTATTCAAATATGATTCCAAACAGATGAAATTGGACTTAACCAAAATGCTGAAAATTTACTCAAAAACAAGAATCTGTAATTTACTGACTCAGCACGCCTTTTCGCCTACATCTTTAATCAGTGTTTTTGCCCTTTTTTTCTAATCGTTCTCGAAGCAAAACCAGGTAATATCCGGTTATTCTGGTTGGTAAAAGATGCTTCGCGAACTGTATGTTTGCAAACGATGAACGTGTGGCAGAGAATGCGTTTTTTTCTTTAAGTTCTACAGGTAAAAATATAGTGTTAATTGTTTCATTTACGGCAAAAGACATGAAACAACTGACTAAAGAAATATGATGAATGGATGTTAAAACGAATGTGCTTACACCTACTTTAAGCTGTCACCTGGAGCACCGTTTAAACTGTCATTTTCGAACAAACTTTTTACAAGAGACATTAAAAGGTTCAACTACGTCTGCAGGAGTCCTTTCTAAATGGATTTAGTAGGCGGATGGAAACAAATAGACATCCACTGGGACATTTGCTTTAAAAAGCTTCTTGCAGAATTCTACTCTGCGGTTCCACCCCATGTGCAAAAGCATTTTTTACAACCATCACTCACTGTCACCTGCAATGACTTGTTTACAAGATTTTCGGGGAGTTCCAGTTTAAAAACTCTTCTACAAAGTTGCAACTCTTCAAAATTTAAACCTAAAGACTGTTAGCAAACCTCACTTCAAAAATAAATAAATAAATAAAAAATAAAAAAAATAAAATGCCTCACAAAATTTAGAAAAATTGTTAAGAAAAGAATGTTTTTATAGTTAGCTGGTATACATCGTGCTTTCTTTGATGGTGAGTCGCATTTCACGTTAATTCTTTTAAATTTTTGAACAATTTTTTCCGAGTAAGCCACGAAAAAATAAATATTTTTCAAAAAATGACAAAAAAAAAATCTTTTTTGAACTTTTATTAGAATTACTTTACGCGTGCATCCAATAAATATAAAATTTTTGAAAAGGCAGTGTGCAGTGTCTGAGTCACAAAAATATGCTGCTGCGTGGTGAAAGCCTCGAAGAACAAGATCCTCCGAAGGCACTATTCAATTCTTCAAATACGAGTTCATTTCCCTCCATACGCTTTCATCAGCCGCCAAGAAAGTGCTGCCTAATCATCATTCAATATTCCATTCAAGAAACTCTCTAAGCTGATGAATGCGAATACAAAAAATTCAGCATAAAACTTCGAAAAAAACTTTTAAATAATTCACAACAAAACGTACCCTTAAAACGCTTCTATTAAAGACCTCCCTAAACATGGTTTCCTTGTCTGATTTAGTAAACAGCTGAAGGGAACCGTCTCGTAATTAATCACTGTTCAAGGTGGAATTTGGTAACAACTTCGTTGGAGAAAATGTTGAGAATGATGATGGATAAAAGTAAAGTACAAAAATATTGTGGCACTAGAGAGCCAGAGCAAAATTTACTTTGTATCTTTGCAAAACTTTGGGCTCCATATGAAAAATTACATTTCCTCTAGCTATTAACAAAATCTTCCTCTGAAGCAAGCTAGAAACGTCTATTATACCCTTCTAATCCTTTCCCGCACCTCTAAGGAAATTTTGAACCAAGTTTCAAAGCAGCATTGGAGACAGCCGTTTCAGCACCTGACTCTCGAAAAAGACAAAAGGAGCTCTGAACTGTTGAA